CCGGCATCGTTTTGTGTTTGAGTCGGAGCCTCACCCTGTCGCCCAGACCGGAGTGCAGCGGCCGCTCCCGGCCACCGCGGCCTCCACCTGCCGGGCTCCGGCGAGCCTTCCGCCTCAGCCTTCCCAGTAGCCGGAACTACAGGCGCGCGCTACCATGCCCGGCGGATTTTTTGATTGATTGTAGAGATGCGGTCTCGCCAAGTTGCCCAGGCGGGTCTCGAACCTGCGGGCTCAGGCCATCCACTCACCTCACCTCCCAAAGTTATGGGCTCACAGGCTGAGCCACCGAGTCGGCTTGGCATTGTTTTGCAAAACTTGAATGAGTGATGATACAGCGTGTGAGGCGCTGAGGACTCAAGCCTGCTTGTGTGACATCAGGTAAAACGTCTGTTGAAGTCCTTTGCTCATTAAAAGTTTTTTTTTCCTTTTTTGAGTTGGAGTCTTACTCTTTTCACCCAGGCTGGAGTGCCGTGGCACAATCTTGGCCACCGCAGCCTACATCTGGGTCTAGGGTTTAGGTGATCCTTCTGCCTCAACCTTCCAAGTGGCTGGATCTACAGATGCAAGCCACCACGCCCAGCTAGTTTTTGTGATCTCTTGTAGAGACGAGGTCTCGCCAAGTTGCCCAGGCTGTTCTCAAACCCCCCGTCTCAGGCCATCCTCTCGCCTTGGCCTCGCCAAGTGCTGGGATTACAGGCTGAGCCACCGTGCCTGGCCATGTTTTTTTTTTTTGAGTTGTAAGAATTCTTTACATATTCTGGAGAGCAGTTTTATCTACCATAGATTTTGCAGCTTCAATGCATGTATCAATGGCGACAAAGGAAATTAACATCTTGCCACGATTATGAAAACACTTCTGACCTCGTAGAGCTCCTTAAAGTCTCGGAGACTCAAGATCCACGGCCGCGAACGGCTGCATGAGGAAGGCGGGTCCAAGAGCTGAACACAGCAGGCTATTCTCCGGGTCACAGAAGGCGCTACTGCCGCACATTTTATACTTGTAAGAATGCGCTCCATTTCTATCTTAAAAATTTTTAGGCACACAGTTCAGGAGCGTCACGTGTGTTCACATCGTACGATCAAACTCTAGAACTGTTCATCTTGCAAAATACGCTGGACCCATTAAGCGACCCCCACCTCCATCTCCCCCACCTCTGGCACCACCATTCTGCTGTTTCGACGAGCTGACTTCACCAGGCAGCTCCCAAGGAGCGTCAGACGGCATCGCTCCTTCGGTGACGGCCGTATCTCAGCGCGATGGGCTCAAGGCTCATCCGTGTAGCATGTGTCGGCATCCCTACACTGCTGATCCATTCTTCCCTCACAGACGGACGCTGGGGTTTCTTCCACCTCTTGGGGACATGAATGGCAGTGCTACGAATGTGCATGTGTACGTGTCTCTCCAGGATCCTGCTCAGGCATATTCTTTGGGACACAAACCCGGAAGTAGGACTCCTGGCTCATGTGGCGATTGATTTTCCCCACTGTTCTCCTTTTTATCTTAAATGACGTAAGGTGTGCTTTTGACTTGCATTTCTCAACTAAAGACTGGTGAAGTTGGGCATCTTTTCATATGCTTGTCGGTCATTTGCATATCATCTCTGGTGAAATGTACGTTCAAGTCCTTTGCCCATATTTATTTTATGATTTATTTATTTAGAATTGGGGGTCTCATTCTGTCCCAGGATGGGTGCAGTGGTACGATCATGGCTCACCATAGCCACAGCCTCCTGAGCTCAGGTAATCTACCTCAGCTTCCAAGTAGGTGGGACTAAAGGCATCACCATGCCCGGGTAATTTTTATTTTTTGTAGCGATAAGGTCTCACTGTATTGCCAAAGCTGATCTCAAACACCTGGGTTCAAGTTATCTTCCTGCCTTGGCCTTCCAAAGTGCTGGGATTACAGGCATGAGCCACTGTGCCCTGTCCTTTACCCACTTTCTACTTTCTTTTTTTATTTTTTTGAGTCAGAGTCTTACTCTGTCACCCAGGTTGGAGTGCAGTGGCACACTCACAGCCACGCCAGAGTCGACCTGCTGGGCTCCGGCAATCCTTCCGCCTCAGCCTTCCAAGTAGCCGGAACTACAGGTGTGCACTACCACGCCCAGCTAATTTTTTGATTTATTGTAGAGACAAGGTCTCGCCAAGTTGCCCGGGCTGGTCTTGAACCCGTGGGCTCAGGCAATTCACTCGCCTTGGCCTCCCAAAGTGCTGGGATTACAGGCTGAGCCACCAAGTCTGGCCTATCCATTTTTTAAATGGGTATTTTTTTTTTTTTTAGTTGCAGGAATTCTTTATATACTCTGGATATTAACCTCTTATGAGTTTTTTTCAAGTATGTTCTCCCATTCCATAGTTTGCTTTTTTACATTGTTCATGATATCCTGTGATTCACAAAAGTTTTAAATTTTGATATAGTTCGATTTGCCTATTTTTACTTTTTTTTTTGAGTTGGGAGTCTCACTCTGTTGCCCAGGCTAGAGAGCAGTGGCACACTCACAGCCACCCCAGTGTCGACCTGCTGGGCTCCAGTGATCCTTCCACTTCAGTCTTCCAAGTAGCTAGAACTACAGGCATGTGCTACCATGCCCAGTTAATTTTTGATTTATTGTAGAGACGAGGTCTCACCATGTTGCCCTGACTGGTCTCGAACCTGTGGCCTCAGGCAATCCTCTCGCCTCAGTCTCCCAAAGTGCTGGGATTACAGGCTGAGCTACCGTGTCTGGCTCTTTTTACTTTTGTTGCTATAGTTTTTAGTGTCATATCCAGGAAGTCCTTGCCAAATTTAATGTCATAAAACTTTTCACCCTATGCTGTCTCCTAAGAATCTTAAACTTTTTGGTCTTACATTTAGGTCTTTGGTTCATTCTGAGCTAACTTTTATATATGGTATCAGGTAAGGGAGGCTTCTTTGTTTTAAGAACTTCTAAGCAGCTCCTGAGAGTATAGATGCAACAAACTTATAAAACTACTTTGGAGAACTATGGCAATATCAACACTACTTGAAAACGCACGACTGAGTGTGGTGGTTCATGCCTGCAATCCCAGCACTTTGGGAGGCCGAGGTGAGAGGAGACTGCCTAAACCCAGGAGGCTGAGCTGTGGTGAGCCATGATCGTGCCACTGCACTCGAGCCTGGGCCACAGAGCGAGACTTCAACTCAAAAAAAAGTAAAAATTTTTTTTAAAAGCAGGGTTTCCTGCCTTTGCAGCAGATGAAAAAATCAGATAGATTTGATCAAAGAGGATTCTGTACATTGCTGCAGGCTCACAGATGGTGAGAGCATGTGACGAGGCCTGGAAGCTGCCTTAAGCAGCTGAGAGATGCCTCTGACAATCAAGGAAATGGGACAACGGAACACGTGAATCAAAACAACAAGAACTGACCGGGCTCGGTGGCTCAAGCCTGTAATCCCAGCACTTTGGGAGGCCGAGGTGACAGGACTGCCTGAGCCTAGGGTTCGAGACCTGCCTGGGGAACTTGGTGAGACCACTTCCCTACAAGAAATCGAAAAAAAACAGCTGCCCATGGTGGCGTGTGCCTGGAGTTCCAGCTACTTGGAAGGCTGAGGCAGAAGGATCGCCTGAACCCAGCTAGCTGGTTGAGGCTGCAGTGGAGCGTCGCTGCACTCCAGTCTGGGCAGCAAAGTGAGACTCCAACTCAAAAAGCAAAACAAAAGAAACTGCAAGAACCACATGAGCTTGGTAGCTGATTTTTCCCCGCAGAGGAGAGCCCACCTCGATTCTGTCCTTGTGAAACCCCAGCAGAAAAAACAAGTGGGTCATACCGGAGACCTGCTCTACAGAACTCACCGTGTTACTTAAAGCAGCTATGTTTATGGTAACTTTTACAAAGCAATAGAAAAATGAAACAGTCCACAAATCGAGCATGAGTCAATGGTGTTGTATATGTACGACACTATATCATATGGCAGTCAAATGAGCTAGATGTATGTATTAACATGGAAAGCATTCAGAAGCTCTGAGTTAAAAAAAAAAAACCCATGAGAAACAGTCCAACAACTCATGCAACGTAAGACCCCAAGCAATGCTGTCGTGCTATGCATACCTGACAGCATCTTTGTAAAATGGCAGTCTAACGTCCTGGAAGGGCCCGCCTGGTTTCCGGGGAGTCCGCTGCCTTAGGGGGAATGAACGGGAAAATGAGGAGTGGAACAGGGCGGGGTCTCAACCTTCTCTGTGGGTTTCCAGCAAGTTCATTCCTATTGGTAAAGTCTGGATGACATAAGTATTTGCTACATCACTACTACTATTTTTGCATTTTCGTTTTGTTTTGTTTTGAGTTGGAGTCTCACTCTGCCGCCCAGACCAGAGAGCAGCGGCCGCTCCAGCCACTGCAGCCTCGACCCGCTGGGCTCCGGCGATCCTTCCGCCTCCGCCTTCCACGTAGCCGGAACTACAGGTGCGTGCTACCACGCCCGGCTCGTTTTTGATTTATTGTAGAGATGAGGTCTCGCCAAGTTGCCCAGGCGGGTCTCGAACCCGCGGGCTCAGGCAATCCACTCACCCCGGCCTCCCAAAGGCGCGGGATTACAGGCTGAGCCACCAAGCCTGGCTTTTTTCCATTTTCTAATGCTACCCTTGCATCTACAGATTTATGATGTGACATAAACCAGAGCTTCAAAGTAACTGGTTTTTTGTTTTTTTTGAGTCAGGGTCTTACTCAGTTGCCCAGGCTCAAGTGGGATGGCACAATTACAGCTCCACAGGCTCCAACTCCTGGGCTCAAGCAGTCCTCCTGAATCAGCCTCTCAAGTAGTTTGGACTCCAGACACATGCCACCACACCCAGCTAATTTTGTTTTTGTAGAGTTGGGGTTCTGCTGTGTTGCTCAGGCTGGTCTCAAACTCCTGGGCTCAAGCAATTCTCCCTACTCCACCTTGTTAAATTCTGGGCTTACAGTGATGATTATTTTCATGAGTTTCCCTAATGCATTTTCAATTCCATATTTTAAGAGAAATAAAACTCACCTCACTTTTATAGTCTGATCAGAAAAGCAAGAATTAAACTTTTTATTTTAAAATACATTTAATAAAAATAACCCATAGCTTTACATATCTTACATGTGTAGAATATTTACAAATTCACTTCTAGAGCATTTACTTAATGTTTACTATTTTTCCATTTGCCTTTTTTGACTATTTCCTTCAGTAGTAAAATATTGTCCAGTGTTCTCTGTAACTAAAAAATTAGCTTCTTGGGCATTACTCCTAAAAAGCAAAAAAGAGAGAGAAAAAAGTTGTTCACATTTAACAAGTTAACAATGTAAACTTGCTTACAGCAATGTTAACCAGTTCCGGCATTCCAACTACATTATTCCCCAAGTCGGATTTCCCGCCAGCACTTGTCATGCATTAAGCAGACAGCGAACAGGAGGAATTTACGAAGGGCACATTGACAGGCCTCGTAACTTGGGTATGCTCAGTGTCTGGCGTGCTCTCAGTGAAAGCAAATACAGTCAAGCAGCACATTCCATGTTTTACGGTTTAAATTTCTCACAAGCAACATTTCTTAGATGGCCTGCAGTCATAAGCCATACTTGAGCCATCTAGAATATTCTGAATTCAATTTGCTTCTTATAAAAACGGGAATTGTACCTTGTTCCAAGGCATCTGTTCTTTTCCGTTTTGTCGCCATGGCTGGGTTTGATGGTTCCTTTAAGGTTTCCACTGGACAGTTTGGTCTTGGCAGCTGACATCCAGGTGTTGGTCCTGGCCGATTGCTGAAATACTTAGTTTTCAATGCCTTTTAGAAGAAAAGATACCAAAGGAAGTCAGACTTTTGAGTATCTGAGACATGTGAAGGAAGATCTAACCTCCAAAATTGTTGGGAACATTAAAAACACTATGTGAACGCCCTCCCTACTTCCAAAACAAAACAAAATTAACATCAAGTATTTAGACATGCAAGTTACCACAAAGAAACATCTAGAATCCTAAGAATGGCTGATAATTTTATTACTAAAACAACAAGACATTCCCGCCTTCTAGTTTTTCCACAATTAAATAGGCTATACGGGCTGAATACGTCTTATCCAAAATGTGTGATATAGAAGAGTTTTAGATTTTGGAATATTTGCATATATATGAGATAACACAAACATAAAATTTATGTATGTTTCATATACCCCCTACACACATAGGCTGAAGGTAATAATTTGCGAATGAAGTAAATTTTGTGTTAAGTCTTTTTTTTTGAGTTGGAATCTCACTCTGTCGCCCAGACTGGAGTGCAGCGGCCGCTCCCGGCCACTGCAGCCTCGACCTGCTGGGCTCCGGCGATCCTTCCGCCTCAGCCTTCCGAGTAGCCGGAATTACAGGCATGAGCTACCACGCCCGGCTGATTTTTTGATTTATTGTAGAGATGAGGTCTCGCCTGCCCAGGTGGGTCTCAAACCCGCGGGCTCAGGCCATCCACTCACCTCAGCCTCCCAAAGGCGCGGGATTATAGGCTGAGCCACCGAGCCTGGCTGCTTGTTATTTCTTAAAACAAACAAAATCACATCTTTCTAGTATTTAAAAAATTTAAGATAATTTTATGAAATTCTATTTTTATTTTGTCAGCGCCACAGTTAAGATTATCCTTCTATCTCCTAATATAAAGAAGAAATTCCAGAATACCTGTGTGGCCGTAATTCGAGTACACGGATTAAAGAAGAACAAGCCTCGTAGGAGATCCAATAAGTCGTCCCCTGCTGCGCTGAAGATGTGTTGCAAAGGGATTCCAGGGAAACTCTTAAATGTCACATAATCTGGAAGACTACACATGTCCTGCAAAAATATTTTTACAACTCAAGCTTGAGGATTTAAAGGCTTACAGATTGCAAATGAAATAAAACTCAAAAAGTAAAAATGAAATACACGTAGGTTAGTATACTGAAAGCTGCAAAATGCTTTTAAATTAAATCAAAGATCAAAATGAATGGTGAGATGTACCACGTTTATGTACCAGAAGACTCAGCAAAGGAAGAATGTTAATTCCCCTCAAATTAATTTGCAGGTTAGGGTTAGTTGGCTGCCAAAAACATATACATGTGGTGTGATCCCATTTTGAGGGAGGGAGGGAGGGAGACAGAAAGAAAATGCAGCCCTGTGTGTGCACCTGTGGGAATACACTCCCAGCTTGGCTTTACACCAACTTTCTAATAGTGATGACCCCTGAAGTGGGGATTACTGGGGTGGGTGAAGGGCTACATTTATAAAAGAGGTTGGATGGCATTTCAGTTTTAACTTTCTTACTTTATATACTTTATCATTAAAAAAAAATTTTTGTTTAATTAGCCGGGCGTGGTAGCGCATGCCTGTAATTCTGGCTACTTGGAAGGCTGAGGCGGAAGGATCGCCAGAGCCCAGCAGGTCAAGGCTGCGGTGGCCGGGAGCGGCCACTGCACTCCAGTCTGGGTGACAGAGTGAGACTCCAACTCAAAAAAAATAAAAAATTTTAAAAAATTTTTTGAAGCAGGGTCACACTCTATCATCTAGGCTGCAGCGCAGTACGACAATCACAGTTCACCACAGCCTCAACTCCCAGGCTCAAGTGATCCTCCTGACTCAGCCTCCCAAGCAGCTGGGACTACAAGCATGCACCACCACAGCTGGCTAAGTTGTTAGGAATTTTTAGAGATGAGGTGTCACTATGTTGCCCAGGCTGGTCTCGAACTCAAGGAGTCCTTCCACTTCTGCCTCCCAAAGTGCTGGGATCACAGGTGTGAGCCACTGTGCTTAGCCTAAATTGTTTTCTCTTTTTTTTTGAGTCAGGGTCGTGCTCCATCCATCACCCAGGCTGGAGTGCAGTGGTGCAATCATGGCTCACAGCAGCCTCCACCTCCTGGGCTCAGGCACTCCTCCCACCTCAGCCTCCTGGGTAGCTGGGACGACAGGCACACACCGCATGGTTGGCTAATTCTTATATGTTTTACAGAGATGAGGTGTTGCTATGTTGCCCAGGCTAGTCTCAAACTCCTGGGCTCAAGTACTCCTCCTGCCTCAACCTCCCAAAGTGCTAGGATTACAGGTGTGAGCCACTGCACCCAGTCCAGTCTAAAATTTTCAACGAACATATATTATAAGTAAATTATAATAATTAATAAAGGTTTCTTTAATATTCGTGTGACAGTGCTATATAAAGCATATGATAATTAAATAACTTTATAGGATTCTAAACAATTTCAAAGAAAATCCATAAAGACTTACAGGCCACTGTTCCTCAGTAGGTGTGCCCAAGGTTTCAAATATTCTCGTCAGCTGATCGAGGTCTGAATCTCCTGGCAAAAAAGGAACCTGAAAGAAAGTGAGAGGCAGACTTTTCAGGGTGGTAGTTGATATCTATAATACATATACTACAAATTTTGCAAGAAAAACTGAAAAACTCTTTAACAAACATTGAAAATTTAGTGTGACATAAATTGATGTGGCATTAGATCCCGCTACTGGTAACGATATAAACAGCACCTTCACCACCTATCTTATCCACTCCAAATCTTAATAAATGCTACCATAATAGGCACTGTGCTAAGCCCTAGGTATTAAAACAAGGGAACAAGTTGTTTCCTGCCAACCCATGGAGTAAAGGAGGAGAACAATGTCGACACACATACACAGACATTTACAAAACAGCGCATTAGGTGAGAATACAGATCCAAGACTGTACAGGAACAGCACTTAGCCACTCTAGATGGGTGAGAAAAGGCTTTCCGGAGGAAGTGGTGACAGATGAACAGGAGTCAGCTTGAGTAACAGTCTAGGGTGGAAGAAGAAAACTGTTCTAGCAAAACATGCCATGCTGCCTAGGCTCGTCGCGGACTACTGGACTCAAGCAACCCTCTCACCTCAGCCTCCCCAGTTAGGTGTTGGAATTACAGGCAGGAGCCCCTAGAAAGCAGATAGCTAACAAATCCCAACAGCAAAGATGCACAGTAACTTCTCGACCATCCAGTGAGCCACAACAGGCCTGGCTGGACGAGGTCGATCTCTGCCCTGAGAGTCTTCTTTGGGTGATCTGTATCGGCCCCAGGGGTGGCTGCTCCTTCTATCTGCTATTCCGGTATTCGATAGAGTTCTCTTTACTTCTTTTTTTTTTGTTTGAGTTGGAGTCTCACCCTGTTGCCCAGACTGGAGTGCAGTGGCCGCTCCCAGCCACTGCAGCCTCGACCCGCTGGGCTCCGGCGACCCTTCCGCCTCAGCCTTCCGAGGAGCCGGAACTACAGGCGTGCGCTACCACGCCCAGCTGATTTTTTGATTTATTGTAGAGATGAGGTCTCGCTGCCCAGGCAGGTCTCGAACCCGTGGGCTCAGGCAATCCACTCGCCTTGGCCTCCCAAAGTGTGGGATTACAGGCTGAGCCACCGAGCCCGGCTTCTCTTTACTTCTTATTTGTCAATCTGTTATTACAATTCCATTATAGTTGACACTTCTTTATGTTGTATTAAACTTCCCTGATCAAATTACTGTGTAGCTTCTATCTTCTGAACAGACCCAGACTTAGTACAATCTCTATTTATAAATTATGTAATAGTATACTAGTATGCATACTAAATATACACAAAAATAGAAACTAAAAATATTTTTAGGCATGGTCATTTTCTTCTTATACCCCAAAGGATTACCTTGTAGTACCTGTACCCTCACTCTGCAGGCCACAATGCAAATTATGGACATCCTTACAATTTAATATTGCCCAGGCTGGTCTTGAACTCTTGGCTTCAAGCGATCCTCTGGCCTTGGCCTTCCAAAATTCTAGGATTACAGGTGTGAGCCAACTGTGCCCAGCCTAATGTGTTGATTTTAGATCCCAATTTGAACAAGCCTACTATCAAGAGGTTTATGAGAAAACTGGGGGAAACAGAAATACAGACTTGATGTTATTAAAGAATTATTGTTCATATTTTTCAGAAAACAATGGTATTGTGGTTATGATAAAGAATCCTGCTGGGCACGGTGGCTCACGCCTGTAAGACCAACACTTTGGGAGGCAGGGACAAGAGGATAGTATAACCCAGGGGTTTAAGACCAGCCTGGCCAACTTGGCAAGACCTTGCCTCTACAAAAAATAAAAAAGTTAGCCAGGCATAGTGGCGCATGCCTGTCGTTTTAGCTACTTGGAAGGCTGAGGAGGAAAGGTTGCCTGAGCCCAGCAGGTCAAGGCTGTGGCGGTCAGGTATGTGCCACTGCACTCCAACCTGGGCAACAGAGTAAGACTTTGACTCAAAAAAAAAAAAAAAAAAATCTTATCTTTTAGAGAAAAATACCGAAATAACATATGGATAAAATTATATAATGTTTGGGATTTCTGGCAATATAGTAGTGTGAAAGGGTGCTTAAAAAATCAAATTGACAATGTTAAACACTACTGAAGCTGGTTGACAGGTATACAGAGGCTCATTTTATTACTCTCTCTGCTTTAACATGTTTGAAAATAGTCGTATTGGCCAGGGGCGGTGGCTCACGTCTATAATCCCAGCACTTTGGGAGGCTGAGGTGAGGACTGCCTGAGTCCATGGGTTCGAGACCAGTCTGGGCAATGTGGCAAGACCGCATTTCTACTATAAATCTAGAAAAATTAGTTGGGTGTGATAACACATGCCTGTAGTTCCAGCTACTTGGAAGGCTGAGGTGGAAGGATCACCTGATCCCAGCAGGTCAAGGCTGCAGTGGCTGTGAGTGTGCCACCGTACTCTAGCCTGGGCAACAGAGTGAGACTCCAACATGAGAAAAAAAAAAAGAAAATAGTCGAATTAAAAAACTTTTCTAGTCCGGCTCGGTGGCTCAACCTGTAATCCTGCGTTTTGGGAGGCTGAGGAGAATGGATTGCCTGAGCCCGTGGGTTCGAGACTCGCCTGGGCAACTTAGCGAGACTTCATCTCTACAATAAATCAAAAATTAGCTGGGCGTGGTAGCGCACGCCTACAGTTCCAGCTACTTGGAAGGCTGAGGCGGAAGGATCGCC